AGATAATTTCTGACTCACCCTCGTAAAAATAACTGAGTAAAATGTGAGTTTGGGGATTCAATTATGTTCATATATGAACATGTTGAATTATTTATTTGATCTAAATGTTGAGGTTGATCTCTAGCTAACATTTATTGAGTGCTCAGCTTACTATGCACTAGGTATATTAGGCAATGACTTTCACAAACATTGTCTTATTTAATCCTTCAAAAAAAAAAAGAGGTAACTATTTCTATTTTCCATGGTACTGTCACCTGATACTCATTATCTGTTTTTTCCTTGTAAGAGAACCTTGATTTCATTAGGGGTAGCAATGTGCTCAGCTGCAGCTACATGTGTCCATGAGTCCAAGTCCCAGCCATAACACACATAGAGCAGGGCTATGTGGGACTTTCAGGAAGTCTATTTAAAGGGAGCACACTTCACTGGGAAGTGTGCTCCCTTTCTCATCCAAGGTGGCTCTAGGTGCTCTAACCATCACATCCTGGCCTTCAAGCTGGAGATTCAGGAGTTGCAGTCCTGGGTTGCTTATCTCTAAGCTTTTATGTGTAAGTGAGTAAACCTTGGCATGGTTAAGCCACCACTACTGCAGCTGAACCTAATCCTGATACACACAATGGGAAAAATGAAGGACAGTGAGGGTAAGACATCTAAGTAATCGTAATCCAGCAGGCATGAAACAAGGGTCCTAACTCAGGTCTGTCAGCATCTATGGTCCACTCTCAGTGACTGCCCAGTAGAATGTAAGCTCCACAAAGGCAGTCCCTTTGTCTGCTGTGTTTACTGCTGTGTCCTAGTGCTAGCACAGTGCCTGGCACATAGCAGATCTACAACAGATATCTCTTGAATAAATGAATGACTTTGTTATATTGTCTCATTGTTGTTAAGTGCTGTCAAGTTGGTTCCGATTCACAGTGAACCTGGACAGGGTTTCCAAGAAGCAGTTGATGGATTTGAACCAGCAATCTTGTGATTAGCAGTCCAGTGCTCACATTATAGAGCCAAACCAGGGCTCCTTTATCTCATTAGTGTATCAGATAAAAAAACCCACTGCCACAAAGTTAACTGTGACTCACAGCAACCCTGTAATACAGACTAGAATTGCTCCTTAGGGTTTCTGAGATTAGGTATCTTTACTGGAGCATACAGTTTCCCGTTTCTTCCTGGAGCAGCTGGGGGGTTTAAATCTCCAACCTTGTGGTTAGCAGCCCAATACTGATTCCATTACACTATGTTTTTTAAGAAATGCTAAACAGTTATGGAGAAAGTACATTTGTTTTGTCAATGAAATTAGGATGTCCATAAATAAACATAGATAATACCTAATTGTAAAGTAATGAAATAAATCAAATCACATCAATTCTTGATAAAGGACACTAAGAGAAACTTTTCTTACCTATAGTTACATCTCCTCTGATCTCACTTTCTACACACACAACTGCTCCAGGAGCAATCTTCACACTGTAGGAAGAAAAAGATAACATTAAGATTTCAACTGCAAACCAAATGGTTCAAATCCACTTAGAGGCACCTTGGAAGAAAGGCATGGCAACCAACTTCCCAAAAATTAGCCACTGAACACCCTATGGAGCACAGCTCTAATCTGACACTCATGGGGTTGCAATGAGTTACAATTGACTTGATGGCAACAAGTATAGACTAATATACAATTAAAAAACAACAACTAATAACCACTTTCTATAATGATTTTAGAGTGACTCTAAGCTCTATAAGGTGCTGTGGTAGCATAGTGGTTACGAAATGGGCTACATACCTCAAGGTCAGCAGTTCAAAACTACCAGCTGTTCCACAGGAGAAAGATGAGGCTTTCTGCTCCCGTAAAGATTTACAGCCCCGTAAACCCTATGCAGGGTCTCTATAAGTTGGAACCGACTCCA